ACGAACTTGGATATAACGGAACCGAAAGGACGATTCCACACCTGGGGAACGCTCGATTGGTATAAAAGGTAGATGCCCGACCACGATCAACGCGTTCTTGATCGATACAAGAGCTCAACGAGCTTGGAATCCACCAAAGCTCACACAAGTACGCAAACTTGCAAAAACCCAAAGGTTTCGAATTCTATTCAACAAAGTCTGAGTTTTACAACGAAATAGAAAGCTTAAATAGGCCTAGCTAGGGTTACACACGTCCCATAAACTCCTAATTACAGTCTAATACGAAAAGGAATAAAAAAACTACCAAAACAATGAAATCCTAACTAAACAAGAAAAAGAAATCTTCCTTTAGCTCCAAGTAACCAAACAGCTTTAATGCCATCTTTGAGCCTCTCGATCAAAGCCTTCCAGGTAAGCTTCCAATCATCCAATGCCATGTCTTTGTATTAGAACATACCTACTTTCATGTGGTATAAGCTTCTGGACTCGAATCTGATCCATGCTTCTGGAATGGAGCTCCAAAGTAGGCTTCTTGAACACAGTTTCTGCCTTAACCAAATTCTGGCAGTTTTCCAGTTTTGAGGTAGCAACTTTGAGCCTTTGGAAAACAACCTTAATGACTTCTTCTTGAGCAACCAAGCATACCAAGGTGTAGATAATCACTCCATGTTCAATACAAGCCATTAAACTTGAATTTCCATTGAGCCAATTGAGAGAAACGTGCCTCCAAATTAGGCTACTTGAACACGGAAAATGACACTGACAGAAATGAATGTTCTTCAGGCAGCTTGAGCTTGCTTCTTCGTCAAGTAATTCCAACTTGTAGAGTGGCCTATTTGGGATCATATCAGGCCCTCCCTCTTTAAAAAGTGTTGCCCTCAACACTTTGGCCTTTCTTTCCTCAAACCGTTCACAAAATTGATCCCAAATTGGATCGAAAGTGGGCTGCTCAAACATGTTCTTCTGCAGAATTTCAACAACTTCAACTTCAATTTCGCTTTGTTTTTTGGACTTTGCATCTTGCAGTGTTGTTGGGAACTCTACCTGGACTTGCAACAAACCCTCATTGACGACCAATTTTTCCGGAAAACGATCGGAGCTTTCTTTAGGTCGTGGTACTGCAGTTTGGCACAAGTTCTTCATCACAATTGGGGGTTTGGAATTGAGGCATCCCCAATCCAATTCGATTACTCCACGAGATTCGACAGGCTTCCAATTGTAAGTCTGGGCATGTTCCCAGTCGCGATTCATCACCAACTTCGTCGAATCTTCTCCTCTTCCTTTCCCGCCGTCGGCCGTATTTAAATTTTCGAAGCCCAGAAATTGCTGTTCTGAATTGGGCGATTCTTGTTCAGGCATCGAATGGATGAATTGGCTGTTCCGGCACGTTCCTTGGACCTCGACGAACGATTCTACAGTGGCCGTTTGCGTCGGATTGCGCCCATTCTCTCCCACCCATTCAGCCAATTGTTCTTCTTGTTCATGCATTTGCAGAGGCATTGAAACTCGATTTCGTTCTTGCAAAACATAAGGATTCGTTTCCATTTGATAGACATGAGAGCTTTCTGAGGCGTAAGGGAGTGCCTTGGTATCCTTGGATTGGGTCGGATTTCTCTCCCGAGCTCCAACCAATATAACCTCTCTCCTGCTCTGTTGTTCCAGAACGTGGCAGAGCTGTGGCGTTGCTGTCGACGGAAGGATTCGACCATCTTCAGACCTATCTTGTGCTTCCCCTCGACTCACCTCCGTTCCTTCTTCCTCCACGAATGCGTGTCTTGCCGCTTCGTGCTCCAGCTTCCTTTCCTCATCGTCGACAGGGGCGCTGACGTTGGGACTCTGTTTTTCAGGCGTAAGACAGAGGTCGCCAGCTCCGAACAGAGTCGGGACTGAGTTGCTGCTCTTCGACGACGCCTTCGACACCAAGTCTAACTGATACTCTTCTTGGAGTTGTTTCAGCACCCTCAAATCTTCAGCAGCTGCTTCTGGCGCCAAGGGACTCAAAACGAACACCTTATTTCGACTTCGCAATCTGAATTTCTTGCTTCGTCGGCTTGCCAACCGAACTTCACGATCTCTGAACCATGGTTGTCCCAACACGAGGCTGCTGGGGAGATTATAGATTACATCGCAAAGCACTTGATCCTCGTATTGGCCAATCGAGAATGTCACGGCCACCTGAGACACTACAATGTTGAATTTGTTTTCATACGGTGATTGGAATACGTATGGTTTCGGATGCAGCTGTGTTTGCAGCCCTAGCTTGCTCACGACCCTTAAGGAAATCAAATTCCTCTCCCTGCCTCCATCAACGAGAACCAAACCCAGCTGATCCTGGATTAAACAACGAGTGAAGAACATCGATTCTTCTAGCTCCTCTGCTGCCATCGATTCTGTTTCTTTTTTTCTTTGTTTTTGCGGCTGCAGAATCGCGCGAAACACAGCCTCCTTTCTCGCCCTGACTTGAACGGGGCTCTGATACCACTTAATACGCCCCTGGGGGTGTATGTTTATCAAAGTCACGCAGCAAACAACTCAATCGAAGAATCGATTGAGCTCGAATCAAGAACAACGCGTTCTTAATACGAACTTGGATATAACGGAACCGAAAGGACGATTCCACACCTGGGGAATGCTCGATTGGTATAAAAGGTAGATGCCCGACCACGATCAACGCGTTCTTGATCGATACAAGAGCTCAACGAGCTTGGAATCCACCAAAGCTCACACAAGTACGCAAACTTGCAAAAACCCAAAGGTTTCGAATTCTATTCAACAAAGTCTGAGTTTTACAACGAAATAGAAAGCTTAAATAGGCCTAGCTAGGGTTACACACGTCTCATAAACTCCTAATTACAGTCTAATACGAAAAGGAATAAAAAAACTACCAAAACAATGAAATCCTAACTAAACAAGAAAAAGAAATCTTCCTTTAGCTCCAAGTAACCAAACAGCTTTGATGCCATCTTTGAGCCTCTCGATCAAAGCCTTCCAGGTAAGCTTCCAATCATCCAATGCCATGTCTTTGTATTAGAACATACCTACTTTCATGTGGTATAAGCTTCTGGACTCGAATCTGATCCATGCTTCTGGAATGGAGCTCCAAAGTAGGCTTCTTGAACACAGTTTCTGCCTTAACCAAATTCTGGCAGTTTTCCAGTTTTGAGGTAGCAACTTTGAGCCTTTGGAAAACAACCTTAATGACTTCTTCTTGAGCAACCAAGCATACCAAGGTGTAGATAATCACTCCATGTTCAATACAAGCCATTAAACTTGAATTTCCATTGAGCCAATTGAGAGAAACGTGCCTCCAAATTAGGCTACTTGAACACGGAAAATGACACTGACAGAAATGAATGTTCTTCAGGCAGCTTGAGCTTGCTTCTTCGTCAAGTAATTCCAACTTGTAGAGTGGCCTATTTGGGATCATATCAAAACCCCCTTCACAAGTATATACAAAACTTCAATTTATATCAACCAAAAAATTACATATCACCGCACCCTCCTGATTCGGCCAGATTAGATGCCATTGTAGGGATATAAAACAAAGAGTCGATTTTGAGCCTATGCGTACTACAATCTCTTGGATCCTCAATTCTGTCCCAATTTCCCCCTACAAACAAATCCCTAATCCCCTCACCACTTTGTATTATCTATTCTATATAACATAATCTAGAATCCCGACCCAACTCCCCCACTATACGCAGCTCGCCCGTCACTCTGCCCCGCCGTCGCAAAAAAAAAAATGTTGAATTAGACAAAACATTGAGCAATAAGAGTTGAGGCCTTCAAACAATCCAAATGATTTGAGAATCAGAAGGAATCTTGAAATGCATACTTGGAACATTGGAGTAATGCCAGTGCCTCCAGCTAGCATTCTGAATGCTTTCACTTGGTTGGGTTGATATTTGAAGCGCCCCTGAACGTTCAAGAATGTTAAAACCTTTTATGTTCACTATCAAGACATCAAAGGCGTGGCCTTAAACATAACGAGCAAATGGCTAGTTTAAGTAGTGATTCTTCTACCAAAGTGAAAGGAGACACTTCTCACTTCATACTGAAAATGCAACCACATACAAAATGGCAATACTTATACCAGGATCCACTCAACATAGGTTCCACAATGTTTAATCAGGGTAAATAGAAAAGCCATTGCAACTCGAATGAGACTTGATTATTGTGTTGTAGCTTAATCACGGGAAAAGCTAAGCAACCTATTAAAGACGAATCCATGCCAGACACCGAAAACTTCATCGCAAGGAATGGAAAGATCATTTACCTTAGCCGCTTTCACAGCCAAGTAATCACCTTCTGCAGCTATCGGAAGTGGTGAGACATTCGTCCTTGTGGATACATCTGTTGTTCATACGATTCTAGAATCAGGAACGGAATACAGAACAAAGACAATGCTAATGAAGCAAAGCCTTAAAAATGCTCCGAGTTTAGAGACAACCTTTAATGATGCAGAAAACCTGCAGGAGGCGCCGTCGTACAATCACCACCAGAAAGTGGGCGGCGGCGGGAACGAGACGAAAATTGTTGTTGCGATTCCGACGGAGGATGATGTAAACGACGGAGAGACGAGATCTGTCAGGAACCCGATTTTGCGGCGCCACCGCTACGGTTATTGTGGAGATTTGCAGTCGCTGACCTGCGAGGCGCCGCCATCACCAGATCTACAACGACAGAGGTTATCGCCGCCGACAGGAGTGTGAAGGAGTGGCTGCGACTCGTTTGAATCGGCGCCGGCGCCGGAAGGAGAAAAAAACATCAGGAGGACTGGCGACCCGGCGTCGGAAGAAAGAAGAATGGCGTGGGATGAGAGGAGATCCACAGGGATGAGAGGGGATTGAGATTTACGGATTAGAAAATTAATTTTTTAATTTTATTTTATTAATTCTCCTTTTTACCCCTGTGATTACTATAACAACACAATAACACTTATTGTGTTGTTATTCTATCCGCACCCGCCTACTTGGGTTCTCGCAAAGAGATCAAACAGTCTCATATAATATGTATTGGTTTGGCAGTAGGCATGTAACCCAAAGAATATACTCAACACCGTTCATCACATCAAACAATAGCTTCAGGAGAACAGAAAAGATGCACATATGGAGAAGCAACATAAACAGTTCCATCAATGTCCCAATTTGCGAGTCCCAAAGGCAAAGCGAGATTTGCCTCTTGGATCCTCCTCTTTAATCCTGGAACTAAATCACAACTGCACACGTTAAGTACACATCTAATTACATTCATTTCATCACCATCTTCAGCAGAGAGCCAGCGAATCAAGCACGATCAGGTGAGTTCAAGCTCGTCGATGGCTGAATCAACTACAACCCTTTGGATCACGGGGATGCACATTATAGGGACTTCTTTACAATCAGGCTCTCGCAAGGATTAATTTACAAGAAAAGAGCGACCTCTCAGGCTATCCGGGCTCCGAGCAATCACCAGAGGAAGGTTCGGCTTGATTTGTCATTTGTACATGATTTTCATTTTCCTCAGCACTCATGTACGAGTCGCCTGTTTTTGGTGCGTGTTCGACCTACCATTGTCGCCATTTGATTGATTCGATCAGGAATGTGGCTAATTTATGCAAGGTATCTGAACAAATTGGGGTTGTCTTTGTCCCTCTCGAGATAGTCCCGACTGATCAGGTCTTCAATCCGCTTCTTGATTGCTTTGATATCAGGCTGCAAATTTCCCAGTTAGAAACTTGGATTGAAAGGTATCGAAAGAGGAGAGAATAACAGCTGAAATAAGTACACCCAAGATAGTGAAACCAACCTTGAACATGCGGCCCAACTGTGCAACACATTCCATTACCAACGGCTGGTGACACAAAGTTTTACGACTCTTCATGATACGCACGATGGAAGCATCAATGGCGTACCGTCTGTCCTTATCGACGTCTTCTATGACTTTCTTCTTCTCATCCACTGGAGGGAGGGGGATCTGCACATACAACAGAGCCAGTAGATATTGACATTGGTAGTTGACGGGATATATAAAACAGTGGTGTGGAAGAAGATTTGGAAGAGAAGCTCTTAGCACCTTTATCCTCCTCATTTTGTCTGTAAACTTCGTGTTGAATTCGAAGCTATCAGTAGGAGAGATGGTTTTTGTGTTTGGATCTTTGATTAGAATCTTGTATTTCGCACAGGACAAAGAATGGAGCAATCTGACGACATCATCATCGGTCAGATTCAATTGGGCCATGATCTCCGAGTAACTCAGTCTATCTGCAGTGTTGAAGAGTAGCAATGCAGATGCCTGCAAAAGGCATACTCAAGGTTTAGTAAATGTGAATGTAGGGGGTCAAGGTTACCCTTAACAAATGGAAAAGAAGATTAGTAACAAACTTAATCAAATAAGACAAGCATGAGAATCAATCTCCTCGGTTGTATTTACCTGATATGTCGTCACTATGAGCTCCATGGTTTTTGGTTCGAATTTACCAATGAGGTTGCAAGTCCCGAGAGAGTATATCCATGTAATTTTTCTGTGCTTTGTCTTTGTTTGATAAAATTCTCGGAAAACCTCAACACATTTTACCTAAAGGATAACCAGTTGAGGGAGATACTAGAACAGTAAGCCCCCGCTGACATAAAAGAAGAACTACAAACGATTCCACGAAAGAGAAGAGGGGGAGGGGGAGGGGGAGGGGGAGGGGGAGGCAAAAGTGTACCATCTCTACTGGAAGGTTCAAGTCAAAGGACTTGTAACTTGGCCAGAACCCAGTTGTCAAGACTGTGACCGTCAGGTCGATGCCTGGATTTGCATTGGCATTATTGCCCAGATACTCTTCAAAACTAGTCTGGTTCTCTCTTGCCAGTGTCAAATCTGTCACCTGGAAGCCAAATAAAATTAAGCAGGAATGCTGAGCTACTAATTCGCTGACCAAGAAATTAACCGATGCTTCAAGAGCCATAGCTGGATATAAAGAGACTTACCATTCCCTCCATCTTGGAAGTAAACTGACCACCACATTGCTGCTTTAACTTTGTCAGGATACTTCTCTCATGGTCATCATTGGCACTCTTATCAAAAAGAAGCCGGCGGGCAAGCTTTTTCCTGTGGAAGCCAGTAGAGGATCATTTATTCATCAGAGAATTATATACCTAAAAGAGTTTCGAGTACAATATCTAGGGGAAGACTGAGCTTACCTATAAAACTCAGCAAATAAGTCTTTGTCACTTATGTAAGCAAGAAGCTTCACCACCTACAAATTAATAGCAGCCAAAACAGGTTATGAAATGGTTTCAGTACTGATACAAAAAGGAATATAAACGGCAGCGAGAGTTTGCTAGACCTTTTCCAAAGTTTCCTCAATAGCTTCATCACTGAGTTTCTCGCTTCCTCCTTTCTTAAGAATATTGTCACAAAAAGTGGCTAATAACTCTGCACTTGAACTACCGGAAACGCCCTTGTTGCAGAAGATCTCAAAAGCTTCTTTCAGAGCCTGTATATAGTATTGACCATTCAAATGAAGTAGATTTCCAGACATAATCGAATTGGTATGCATATGAATATACAAACACACACCTTGTGGAAAAGAGTGTGGTTCTGGAAGCAATCACTGACATAAGCCAGATACTTGTCATGCAGCTCGATCACCTTCCTAACAAAAACCTGAAGACCAACAGAATCAGGTTCTGACAAGCACAAGCATACTGACATTTCAAATAGAAGGAAAACCGAAAAACATAAAGACTAACCTGCTCTTGCAAACCAACCACATCCTTTTTCTCTGCCTGTAGGGAAAACGTAAATAACTAACATCAGAACGAAACATTCTCTTTACCACCAAATAACAATGCAAGACAAATAGAGAGATCTTGAAAGTGGTCCAAATAAGACAACAACAGACGTGAAAGAACAATTCACCACAAAACCCCACCATCCTTCACCTGAGGTAGCCACATATACAAGCCTTACCCCAGGGACTTTGTCACCTTCAACAACTATGCATGTAAGAGATACAAAAAGCAAGTCACGCTGCGAAGGCGCAGAGGTGCAGGCACCTCTGCAAAGACAAAAACGCTAGTGCTCGGAACAGATAGCTCCTCTGCTCACCTTGCTTACAATGACCATGGTTTACAGAATTCCTTATTACCCAAGTAGTAGCATTTCAGGGATTCAGTTTAATAAAATGGGGCGTGAAATGAAAGATAACCATGCAGCAACACGTAGCAAGTATAACATGTCAGGATTCATTTGCATAAAATTATGAAAGTTACGTACCTTCTTGTTGCTTGCAGCATCTTCAGCCTGTTTTACCAAAGCTGTACCTTCACCAGTAACATGCTGCAACATGGAACCAAAACTGTCTTAGGGCAAAGTAAACAAAGTGAAAAAGCAAGAAAATTGAAACGAAAACACTAAGTTGGTACCAACCTGTTTGAATATACTAGAAACAGGTTCTAAGCCACGAGGTATTTTCGAAAAGAGCCTGAACATTCTTGATAAATCATTAACCTAAACAGAACACGGAATATATATAACAAAAAGAAGACAACCAATTAATTCAAAAGACTACCAGGCATCCAAAATTGATAACCAAGTACATCGTTATCACCCTACCTTGTCATCCCTGAGCAATGCATGGCATCCTGAATGTTCTTTCTCGAGGAGTTGGTTTCCATAAACAGAAAGCAGTTCATTTTGGACTTTCTACAACGAAGAAAAGCACCGTAGAGGACACAACATTAACAGTGTATACTGATACTTTAACGGCTTTCTTAACACTCAATGCCAACATCAGCATAGAACTTCAGGTATTTGAGCAAGAAATGTCAAGTCATAACCCCAGAGATATTTAACAGCAATGAGCAAATCTTAAAACTCAATAACAACCTCCAACAACTTGGGCTCACTACTGGAATGCAGGTAATGAGAGACCCTCTCTTTCTCCCTTTTCAGACACTCCTCGGCCTGAAATAGGAACCAAATGAATTAAGGGCAACTTAGGTGAGAAATCCTCTTCACATTTCACGAAGTTTTTAAGGTTCTCTGGCTTACTTTTAACATGTAATCTGGACAGGAATCTTCTTGGATCCAGTTTGAAGCCTTGCGAGAATAATAAGCAGCTGTATCTTTGAGCATAGCATCTTCGAAGTCATTTTCATAGTAGTCCATTTGTCCCATACCAATTTCAACAAAAATATCCAAAATATTTTTTAACAAAGCTCGGTCAATTTGTTCTCCCTCGCGCTCTTGGTCAATCTGAATATGAAAAAATACCAAGTCAGCATCATGAAAAAGTTAAGCAGAAATATATTCGAGGTCAAGTAGGCTATCTTACCAAAGAAATTACAGCATCTCTCACTTTCCCATTCAATTCTAGGTACACCTGAAAAACAACAAAATACGTGAGCAGATAACATAAGACCACAAGTCACGGATACATGATTATAGAGCAGTTCAGCAATAACATACTAGGTTGCGGAAGCAAGTAAGTCCAACTTCATTAAGTGGGGAAAGTGACCTCCGGGCGATGAAGTACCGATCAAGGTAATGAAAGAAACGAGATAGCCATCTAACCATGACTTTATGGTTTGTCCATCTCTTCACAAGCTCCCTCAACATGAATTCATCATGCTTCTCCCTCAAGGATGGTAATACCTAAATCGGATAACAGAAGTTGAAATAGAGAGAACCAATGCATCGAAAATTCAGCACATGATTCACAGAAAATTGTTGCATGCGCCTCACCATTGATGTAATATAATCTTCAAAGGCCTCCCGGTACTTGTCATACAACTGCTGAGAGTAATCATGAGGAGGCTTCTGAGTGCACATGTTGTAGATGGTTCTACAAGTACCATTAAGGAAAACAATGACAGCCACAACGAAGGAGACGGTAACAAGCAAATCCTCTAACTAATTATTGACCCAAAAATTTGGATACGTGTATAGCATCATGTAGTCCTCGGAGCTGAACTGTGGCTCCGGTAGTCCTTCCAGGATGTTCTTCAGTTTAGTGATCCCCTTTTGCATAAACTCCCATCCTTGTTCTAAGTCGATCATCTTCCGCTCATTCATGGTCATGTCTCCGTACCCTTATTTATAGCAATCAAGGCCAGCAATGCCTGCAAGATTAACCTGCAGATTCTACTTGCTGTCACACTTCAATCATAAACAGTAGCCAATTGGGTAACACTACAGTTCAAGCATAACATCATTATATGCTTTCAAAATTCGAGAAACCTAACACCTCAGCATCCTACTAAAATCCAACCTCCACAACTCACAAACCGAAAAAAGCAAACAGCAAACTAAAATCCTCAAACCCTAATCGCTCCACGGAGCAGCACAGAGAACGAACACAAAAGCAATTCAACAAACTCGAGCATCCTAACCAATCCAACTCGAGGAAACACTTAGATGTCTCCTTTTCCATCACTCCCCGCCACCAGCGCAAGTTCCAACGAAATGAGAACAGAGCCTCGCCGGAGGGTGAAATCGGCTTGTTAACAGAAGAGATCAAGACGCGCGCGATCAAGCATCGCCCGCCGGAAGTTTCTATTTACTACTCCAACAAACATCCGCAGCAGTTGAAGTTCATAGTTCACGGTGCTTAATTCAACAAACACTTGGAGCAGAGAGTACAGAGAAAGCATACCTGGTTCAGATACGAAGAAGAAATGATGATGATGATGTGGAAGGAGGAGAGCCTAGAAGCTTGGGGTGAAGGAGACGCAGGTGGAAGAAGAGAAGAATGAGCTGTGGACATAGCATTGATGAGGCTAGATAGTGCTGCGTTCTGGTTGGGAGAGAATGAAAGATCATAGAAGGATTGATGTAACTTCCCTCTCTCTCTCTCTGTTTTCGAGTCTGAAACTATTCTTTTTCCCGGTAATTATTTCAGTCCTTACATTGTGCAGAGTTACCAAAGTAATCCCTATACAAGGAATATTTTCACATCCAGTCTTCACACTATGAAATTTAACTTTTGTGGGGGTCAGGTAGATCAAAGTTGCTCGGAAAAACATATGTTATTAAGAACCTGAGATAGTTGTTAGTTGTTCTTTTTCTGATTCATGTTTAGTCATATTGGTATGGTCCAAAGTAAATTTTTTCATCACTCTTTCGAAAATAGGAAACAACAATATAGCGCACATGGAATAAGAGAAGAGAACATAATGAATAGATAAAATTCATTCGTCATCGCTATGACTTACCAAAGGAAGCAGGTTGGTGGATGAGGGGATTGAAATGTCAAAAGAAGTGAGGGAGGAGGAACAACGAAAAGGGAGGGATACCGCTCAAGAAGAAAATGAGGGATGTTCGAAGGGGTTGGTTTTCAACTTAGGGCTCAAGGAATTTGATTGTGTTCAACGAGTGGGTGATGGATGTGATATTTGAAGGGTGGATTCGTACTTTTTACCGGTTAATCACTACAATCAGCGATTGCTACAATATACACAAATGAAACCTCAGTCTACCACTCATTGCTCCATAATAACCTAGTATATTTAGGTTCGATTGACCATTCATTGAGCGATTATAGTTTGTTTCCAATTGAACCAGTCAGCTGGACTTGGAATCACACTGTCGCCTCGATTTTTGCAGTGCTCCATTATGAGCACATATAACTCAATAGTTCTTACAAGAACTCATCAATTTCTCTCTAAAATATGTCTTGTTACTTGTTAGTTAAAATTATATATTTTTTATGAATCATAGATCTTCCTCGTACTTTCTCGATATGAGATTTGCCTAAAGTGATATATGTTTATACCACATCAATTTTTTTTTGGTACATGTACTTTTATGTTAACATTACAATTAATGGAACTACATGATTAGTAACATTTTTCTCTTAATTGAACTTAGGCCTTGGTGGGACCGAAGAGGTGCGAAAAAGTTCCTCACTCACCTCTTTTAAGCGATTGCGTTAGATGGCTGCAAAGAGATTTTATGTTGGATTGGCAATAGAACGCAGACATTTGATGCCTAATTACTCAATTAACTGATAGTTGGCCCACGTTTATCTCTTAATTATTGAGGATTAGAAACAAATGGCAATTACTGGAACTTGGAAGTGCGATTAGTTTCCGTGTTGTCCAGATCGGATTTTGGGTCCATAATTCAATCTAATTGTTCTCTTTTATCATTTCATTCATCCAAAAACTCGATGTCGCAAACTTTCTAATAAAAAACAAAAGATTTATCATAAATCAGAATAAATTCTCAGAGCTGGGTTGGGCTTCCGTTTTATTATCTCCATGGAAACGGTCAACTGGCCCATTTAACGTAACAGGCCACTACTTACACAACTTGGACTTTTTAATTCTCAACCCAGTCAACAGCCTCTCTTTTCACCTGGTGGGCTTTTCATGCTGTGGAATGTGGATGGTGTTGTGAGTTATCCTTTCAGGAATCTTGAAAAAGAAGGTCATCGTGAAAATAGAACAAGAATACAAGATATAGTCGTCTCAAAGTGGAAGGACTTCAAAAATAAACACACAGTATATTCTAAAACCTCTGTCCATGGCTTGATAGATCTCCAGTTATATGATGGATTTTTCGACAGAATCAATCACCGTGCTGATTTATGGCACGAACGACCCGATAGCTTCTTCCAGAGCCTGCATGCATAAATACAGTATCGATCCTTCGGACAAAGCTTATTCTATCAGCAGGACATGGTAGTGCTGTACTGTGTCTGTATGGATATTTCGATACTTGGGTTTGGGAAACAAACACACACCTGCCGGAAAAGAGTATGGTTCTGGAAGCAATCGTTGACGTAAGCCAGATACTTGTTATGCAGCAGATCAATCTTCTCCTCCGCAACAAAAACCTGAAGACCAAGAAAATCAGCTTCTGCATAAGACCAAGAACGACCACATTGCAGAAAGAAGGGGAAACCGGAAATCGAAAGAAAAAACAGCTTCGTTTATCTCTGCCTGCAGGGGGGAATGTGTAATATAACCAACAATCAGATGTGAAACATATACTATCCACCTGCAACTCGGATGTAAAATAACTACTCTGATCTTGACACCAGTCCAAATAAGATGACAATAGAATGTGAAGCTACGAAAGAAAATGTACCATGAAACTAAACCGTCCTTTGCCTGAGGCTGACACAGGCACAAGCCTTAGAGTCGTGCCTTCTAAAACTATATATAGTGAATTCGGTAGATGGAAGAAGCAAGTGGCACTGCCTAGGCTGTAGGCTCAAAGGGGTGCCTCCCGGCAAAGTGCCATATTGTGTTTCAAAGAGAAGAAAAGCTAGTGGTCTGAACAGATAGCATCTCTGCTTGCTTTCCTTGCCTCGAATAACTATGGTTTTCAAGCTCACTTATAGTCCAGAAAATATCATTTACTACTTTAGGGAATCTAGTTAATTTTGACATGCTTATTGCGTTCTCATATTCACCTCAATGCAAGCAAGTCTCCATCAGAAGTTCAACATAGAAAATGAAAAAGGTTAAAAGACACTTGGAAAAAATTCACGCACAAGCTTGAAGCTGCACACATTCTGGACGATGTCTCGCCTCAGGATAGACCAGTAAATGAGGCGGGGAAGGCAAGGAGAGAAAGCCAGGGTTCACACGGGATACCCAGAACCTTTCCATGAATACATTTGCATAACTAGTAAAGTTCACATACCTTCTTGTTGCTTGCAGCATCTTCAGCTCGTTCTACCAAAGCTGCACCTTCAGCACTGATATGCTGCAACATGGAACCAACACTGTGTTAGGCAAAAGCGAAGTGCAAAACAATAAAATGAACAAGGCGATTAGAATGAAATATGCAAGTTGATACCGACCTGTCTGAATAAATCAGCAACCGTTTCTAAGCCATATGGTAATCTTGAAAAGAGCCTGAACATTCTTGACAAATCATCGACCTGAACAGCAAGCAGAATATATGAAGGGAAAAAGGATCAAGTAATTCAAAAGACACCCAGGCATGAAACAAAATGTACACTCTTATTACCCTACCATGTCATCTCTGAGCAACACGTGCAATCCTGAGTCCTTGTTCTCGAGGAGTTGGTTTTCATGAAGAGAAAGCAGCTCGTTTTGGACTTTCTACCATGGAGAAAAGCAACATAGCATACAAAATATTAAGAGCTGATACAGATACTTGAAAGGGCATCCTTAACACTCTATGCCACCATCAACCTAGCACTTCACTCACTGAACAAGAAATCTTCGAGTCACTATACCGAAAGACAACTAGCATCTGCAAGTCTAGTTTAAAATTCAATTACAACCTCCAACAACTTCCGCTCACTTCTGGAGTGCAGGTAATGAGAAACCCTGTCTTTCTCCCTTTTCAAACATTCCTCAGCCTGGAACAGCAAACCAAATGCATCAATTTCAGTTGAAGTGAGAAGTCATCTTCCCATTTCACCAAGTTCATTTCAGAAGGTTGTCTGGCTTACTTTTAACAAGTAATCTGGACACGAATCTTCTAGGATCCAGTTTGAAGCCTTGCGAGAATAATAAACAGCAGTAGCTTCTAGCATAGCTGCCTCCAAATCATTCTCATAGCAATCCATTCGTCCCATACCAATTTCAACAAAAATATCCACAACATTTTTCAACAAAGCTCGGTCAATCTCCTCCCCTTCACGGTCTTGATCAATCTGAATAAGGGAGAAACGAGGTCAATGTCATAAGAACAGTACAAAAAGAAACAAATTAGAGACAAACTGAGTTAAATCATACCAAAGAAATTACAGCATCCCTAACTTCCCCACTAAATTCTTGGTACAGCTGAAACAAAAAAGAATTTGATCATAGAACATGAAATCAAAATCAGGGACACATGAACAAGGAGTGGTTCAGCAGGTACGTACCAGGCTGCGGAAGCAATTGAACCCAACTTCATTGAGCGGTGGAAGTGATCTTCGAGGACAAAATCTCCGATCAAGGAAATGAAAGAAACGAGATAGCCATCTAACCATAACTTTATGGTTTGCCCATCTCTTCACAAGCTCCCTCAACATGAATTCATCATGCTTTTCCCTCAAGGATGGTAATACCTAAATCAGATCCACAACACTCACTCAGACTAACTTGGCAGTAGGTAAAAATCAAGAAAACCAATGCATCGGGTCATGAAAGAATTTTTTTTATTTTTTATTCACATTGCAAATTCAACGTCAAATGTGCCTCACCGTTGAGGTAATGTAATCTTCAATGGACTCCCTGTACCTGTCATACAACTGTTGAGAGTAATCATGAGGAGGCTTCTGAGTGCACATTGTATAGACGGTTCTACAAGCACCATTAAGGAAAAATGACAATCACACTGATAAAAAAAAACCTGTAACAAGACGTATTCATCACTGATTAGCCAAAATTTGGATACGTGTATAGCTTCATGTAGTCCTCGGAGGTGAACTGTGGCTCCGGTAGTCCTTCCACTATGTTCTTCAGCTTATTAAAACCCCTCAGCACAATCTCCCATCCTTGTTCTAGTTCGATCTCCATGATTCCCGGCCCCTAGTTACTGAAACCAGGGCCAGCAATGCCTCTGCAAAGATTTCCTGCAGATTGATGCTAGTTACTGTTACACTCCAATCAATAATGAGTTAACAACATTATCACCATGTCAGGATGCTTCGTATGGTAGAAGCCCCAAATTCAGAATCCACCTGACACCCCTACCTCTCTAAATTCGTAACTGCAATCCTCAAACCCTAATCCACCACGGAGCAGCACAGAGAACAAAGATAAACACAATCAAATGAACTCAAGCATCCGAAACAGTCCAATTCGTGGAAACACTTCAAATCTCGATTTCTATCACTTCCCGCCACCAGCGCGATCGTCCAAATTGCCGCATCAAAGAAGACTGGGCGGTGAAATCGTTCAAGAGATCTAGAAACTCACGCGATTATGAATCGGTTACCGCAAACACCCGGAGCAGGAGAAGTTCATAATTCATAGTTAACACGGGGGCAGAGAGCACAGAGCACAGAGCGCGTACCTAGTTGTGTTTCCGATACCGCGAAGACCAAGATGGTGGCGAGAAGGGAGTAGAGCCATAAGTAGGAATTATGGAGAAGCAGGAAGAAGCGAGGAAGCCGGGGCTGGAGATGGACAGAGCGTTGACGAGGGCAGACATTTGGTCAGTGCCGTGTTTGACTTGTGGTGGAAGGATCACAGAATAATCGGATGTGAGGTTGTGAATTTCCCGCTCTCTCGTTCTCTCTCTCGGTGTCGGTTCCCGGCCAATCCCGTTTTGCAGTCTATTAGATTCTTCACAATTAACAAGACAATCCCTATATAAGAAATATTTTACACATTCAATCCTCATACTCTGCAAATTTGCCTTATATCATGGGTGTTGTTGGATCGAAGTTTCCACAATCGCGTAATGTTTCCGTTGAGATCCATTATGGGCTTATGGTATACATGTATTGTTGCTGTCGTTGGATAATTTAGATATAGATGCGTCCAGTTAAAGACAATGACATGTATCAATATATGCGACTTTAAAGTTTGGATATGAGGTGTGTGATGAAAATATTATCTAGCATAGTTCATGCATTCTGAGCAACAAAAATAATAATGTTCTCCGGCGAGAAAACTTGCGTTGAATTGATATTGATTGCACCTTGACTTCTTTGGACAACGATCACTAAGACACGGCTCACACCTCTTCAAACACAGTTCGAACGAGGGTGATCGATGTTTACATGACTCTCGAGACAGATCTACATTAAGTTATTCCTACTCCTATGGAGGTTCTGAGAGAGCTCCAGATCTACGACTACGGCTAAAATTGCAGAGGAAAGGATAAAGGGATAAAATTTGACATAGTGTTGTCTGGTGTGAATTTGGCGACCTCTTCTCTGACAACTCTTCCTCCTATTTATAGGCTTGAGGTGATAACTGTCGTAGAAAACTGTCTGGAGAGTAACTTCCAAAAAGAACCGCTTCCCTTCTTTCCCGGACGTGGCTGGCGTGTCCTTGAACATGGAGTAATTGATAGTTTCTCAATCAAACCGTCGGCTCTCCCTTTTGGAATTGACGTCTTGTTACTTGCCCTTTCCTTTACCATGGCTATTACAGATCTCGCGACGAGGCGGTTTGTCCAACATGATGACAATGCTACGAGGTGGTTTACCAAACTTGGCGCGAGGAGGCTTGTCGCGACCAGGCGGTCTACCAAACTTTACGCGAGGAGGCTTTGCATTTAGACTTAGTAGAGGCTTGGCGGACTTGCGACGAGGTGGCCTGGCGAACTCGCGAAGTGGCCTGACGCGAGGAGGCTTGGCGCTCGAACTTCTCCCCATGTAGACTCGCGATGTGGTTTAGACAAGGCGGTTTGTCGCGACAAGGCGGTCTACCGACTTGACGCGAGGAGGCTTGTCACGATGAGGCACCAGACTTAGTTTATTCTCACGCGTCATGTCAGGCCTAATCATTTGGGTTTAAAAATCTAGTATCGTAGGCCCAGTTTAAATAACATTAATTGTTATTGTTGATCTGGCCTTATAAAGACAGTTAATGTCTTGTAAATAATCAATGTGGTACACGATTATTTTTGTAGGTGTAAACAAATGCCCCCCAACTACTTAGTGCATAAGAATTATGGACTAAGTAGTTGAACACCACCATGCTAGCAAAAGTAACAAGCTGGCTAGTGTCTACTCAACACACCTAGTTCGTCCTTAGCCAAAATTTGGCTTTCACGTCAAGCCAACACGGTAGGATGGAACTCGACGTCAAAACTTGTCTCATGCCTTAGCCAAATTTTTGGCTTTTAATTATCAAGCCAACATGGTCGGATGGAACTTGACGTCAAAACTTGTTCCATGCCTTAACCAAATTTTTGGATTTTAATTATCAAGCCAACATGGCCGGATGGAACTCGCCATCAAGGCTTGTCTCATGCCTTAGCCAAATTTTGGTTTTTCACGTCAAGCCAACATGGCGAGATGGAACTTGACGTCAAAACTTGTTCCATGCCTTAGCCAAATTTTTGGCTTTTAATTATCAAGCCAACATGGCCGGATGGAACTTGACGTCAAAACTTGTTCCATGCCTTAACCAAATTTTGGATTTCAATGATCATTCCAACATGGCCGGATGGAACTCGACGTCAACAACTTGTCCTATGCCTTCGCCAAATTTTGGCTTTTAATGGTCAAGCCACCTAATGCATTCAACGAGACACGAGCTTCACTTTATCACCTACACCCTCATTGACATCTCGTACTTGGCCATATGGTTGAGAGAATAACTTAGAATTTTTCGCACCTATTTTGGCATAGATTGGCTCATCCCACCTCGTCACAAGGCTAGACAGCTCCCTCGCGACAAGGCAAGTCGTCTACTTTTTTGCCTTAGAAAAAATAATGTTCATTTTTATGTTGGTAGAGACATTATGGTCACCACTCCTCTACTAACACTTTCAAGCCATCATGCCCCCAGGCCGTGGCTACTCGGGACAAGATAACATGGCATGGCATGGCCTGATGTATGGCTCGTCATGTCAAGCCATCACAATAACTTGGTGGCAAGATCTTCATGTCGAAGTCTAACAACTCCGACTCAAGATTTTCACTTTGATATTTTCCTTCTATCTTTTCTTTTAGCCATGGTTGGCTACAACATTTTTTTTATAACTACTATATAATAAGTACATTATATAAATTTATTTATTTTATATGGCAAGAAGTGACAAATGTCACTATTCTCCATAGCCTTTGGCAACAATCAATGTACCAAAGGTGTACACCCATTGCCAAGTCCATGGATCAAACCAGACATGACATCCATAGACCACATGACTCTTTTCCTCCATGGGAGATGAATCTTCATACCTTAACTTTGAATTTTCTAGCTTACTAATGGGTGGTACATAGTGAGCCTGTCTAGTTTTGGTGGCCTTGCATGAGGCCTCATGCTTCTTTGCTTGGGCCACCTTACTAGACATGTCAAGGCTATCATGATTATTCTTCTGCCTTGATTTCCTCCCACTTGATAAATGCTTAATCTCCTCACGATGTTGGGGACCAGGTCTAGGCTTGACAAGTTGACAACCACTCGTGTAGCTTCCTTGTCTTCGTCTTTCAACATATAAACCTTGTTGGCCCCTACACTTAGCACTCAACCACCATTGATTCTTTGTGCAGCCATGTTTGGCTGGTGTGTATGGTGACTTCTTATATATGCCCCCATGTACACTCTTTGTGGTCAGTGTCGAGTACTTACTATTCATTGACATGGACTTGCCCCCCAATCCTCCATTGTCCATAATCTCATACTTACAAAATCCATGTGAGGGTTTGACTTCTTGTGTCTTCTTGGAGATGTTGTCTACTCCATTCTTCATGGTGGGTGAAATTCTCCCTTGTCCAGACTTAGCCATATTATCATATTTATCACAAACATGTGAGGCTTTGGGTTGATGTGGCTTCTCGGAAACCACCTGCCCCCCAGATGGACATCTCGACTTCTCTTCGTCAACCTTAAAACTCTTCTTGCAATGAGCACACAACTTCTCATCTTCATCAGTCATCATTGGGGCCAGGCTGGCCTGCTTGGTACATGACGAGCTTCCTTGGTCGAAAACCACGTTAGCTCTCCTTCGAGGCGGTGTTGTATCCAACACCAGTTTGAAACGTGGCAACTCGACTTTGGAGAAGTCTGGGTTGACCATGTTGACGCCAAGCACCTTGGGGAATGGATCAGTGTCCACCAACATGGCATCCTTCTTTGCTTCAGGGAACTTGATACGTCCCTTTTCAATGGCATCCTGCAAGACATTACAGAACACCACACAAGCTTCAGTGGCATGTGACATGCTATTATGCCACTTACAATACTTTTTCCCTTTTAATTTCTCGGGTGAGGGAAAGACATGCCCCCCTGTTAACTTGACTTGACCATCCTTATAGAGTTGGTCAAAAATCAAGTCTGCCTTGGAGACGTCAAAGGAGTACTTCCTTGGCTGAATGGGAGCACGATTGGGTCTCCCCCCTTGTAGTCCCTCTTCAACTTTAGACAAGGAAGCACATATGTATGGCTTCCCTGGAGTTATTTCAGCCAAGTCCACCTCAACCTCATTGGCCTCGTGGCCAACATGATTGATGGTATAGTCTAAGTTTGGGAAGTAGGATCCCCTTGAGGCACTCCTACGGTTCTCTTCCTCATGTAGAAGAGATTCATACCTCACGGCACAAGACATGAGTTGAAACAAGTCAAAGAACTCTCTATCTTGGAATTTCTTTCTTAGTTCAAAACTCAAACCCCCTTGTGCCAACTTGACTAACTCCCTCTCCGTCAAATTGACAAAGCAACGGTTACGGGCATTCTTGAAGTTAGTCAAGAAATGCTCAACCGATTCCCCCGGCTGTTGGCGCATACGTGCCAAGTCAGCCATGGACACCTCAGGCTCAGATCTATAAAACTGAGCATGGAAGACTTGTTCCATCTGTTGCCAAGTCTGGATGGAGTTAGACGGCAAGTTGACGTACCAAGCAAAAGCTGGTCCTGTCAATGAGTTTCCAAATAGTCTTAACTTAACAAAATATCCTACATCGCCACATTGGACAGTGAAACGTCCAACGTGCTCTACAGTGGACTGATCTCCAGTCCCTGTGAATGTGGCAAACTCGGGAACTCTGAATCCTCTTGGAAACGGGTAAAGTCTATCTACCCATTTTGGGTACGGCTTACGGTATACAGGTGGCATGGCAAGTCTTACTCCCATGCCAAACTGCTCCGTGAGGAGTTGAGCCACTTGATCCCTAAGGGTGTTGGCTTCATGCCCCCCTTGTTGCCCCCCATACGGTACAAACCCAATGGGGTCCACGCCATGCCCATTGAAATGGGATGGCGTTGGAGTTGGGTAGCCTCGAGGTGGGATTTTATCCATGTTACCACCTAGGCCTCCTCCTACTCCCAAATTCATAGGAGCCACGTAGGGTCTTGCCTCTGGGATAGAGGGACGAGCACCCACTTGCACGGGTGGTTGCTCAGCTCGAGTGTTGAACATGGCGGCGAGGTTCTCACCACGCGGGGGTACCACTTCAACTCCCACGCGTCCATGTGACGACTCCCCTACTTGAGCAGTAGCGGGAATCTCAACATCATCTACTCGACGTGGAGGTGGTTGGCTTGCCGTCTGAGGCGGCAAGTTCTCTTTCCGTGGTTGGCTATTTCGACCGCCGGCGGGAGAAGGAACGTTATTAGTAGGCGTTGGGCTTGTGCCATCTACTGGCAAAGCTCTTGACTGCACTACTGGTCTAGTTAGAGTTTGTCGAAACTGATCCAACTCATTTGTGTTTTTGTTAACCAACTCAAATAATTGACTGAAACGTCTATCAATGCGAGAATTGAGACAGTCAATTTGAGAATTTACCTGATGTGTACTAGCCCGAGTCTCCTCCATCATCCGGCGGTTCTCCACCAGCATTTGGCGGTTCTCCTCCGTGGCTCGAAGGTTGTCAGCCACCATCTTGCGGTTCTCCTCCATCATCTGACGAAGGGCCCCCACTGCTTCGCCGAGATCTCCACCAGGCACGGTTGCCACCAAGATCTCTGCTCCACCGTTTCCTCCGGTCACCGCGTTGGACGCTTGGCCATGCTCAATGTTGGCCACCTGCTCCTCCACAAATCCAGCCGGAACGTCACCTTCTTGGTTCCTCCGGCTTGGAGCCATTGAATCGACCACAAGTGTCCCACCAGGTGTGCCAAATTTGTTCTCCGGCGAGAAAACTTGCGTTGAATTGATATTGATTGCACCTTGACTTCTTTGGACAACGATCACTAAGACACGGCTCACACCTCTTCAAAGTTACTCCTACTCCTATGGAGGTTCTGAGAGAGCTCCAGATCTACGACTACGGCTAAAATTGCAGAGGAAAGGATAAAGGGATAAAATTTGACATAGTGTTGTCTGGTGTGAATTTGGCGACCTCTTCTCTGACAACTCTTCCTCCTATTTATAGGCTTGAGGTGATAACTGTCGTAGAAAACTGTCTGGAGAGTAACTTCCAAAAAGAACCGCTTCCCTTCTTTCCCGGACGTGGCTGGCGTGTCCTTGAACATGGAGTAATTGATAGTTTCTCAATCAAACCGTCGGCTCTCCCTTTTGGAATTGACGTCTTGTTACTTGCTCTTTCCTTTACCATGGCTATTACAGATCTCGCGACGAGGCGGTTTGTCCAACATGATGACAATGCTACGAGGTGGTTTACCAAACTTGGCGCGAGGAGGCTTGTCGCGACCAGGCGGTCTACCAAACTTTACGCGAGGAGGCTTTGCATTTAGACTTAGTAGAGGCTTGGCGGACTTGCGACGAGGTGGCCTGGCGAACTCGCGAAGTGGCCTGACGCGAGGAGGCTTGGCGCTCGAACTTCTCCCCATGTAGACTCGCGATGTGGTTTAGACAAGGCGGTTTGTCGCGACAAGGCGGTCTACCAACTTGACGCGAGGAGGCTTGTCGCGATGAGGCACCAGACTTAGTTTATTCTCACGCGTCATGTCAGGCCTAATCATTTGGGTTTAAAAATCTAGTATCGTAGGCCCAGTTTAAATAACATTAATTGTTATTGTTGATCTGGCCTTATAAAGACAGTTAATGTCTTGTAAATAATCAATGTGGTACACGATTATTTTTGTAGGTGTAAACAAATAACAATATTTTTTTAGTAAGGACCGACTTACTTTACTCTCATATGATAGCCACATAGGAATATTTCAACTTAGTTATTAATAGAGAACGATTAAATGTCCATATTTAGAACATTAAACCTACTAGCCTTATAAAAAAACTGTTGGCCGAGGAAATTTTAGTTATTGAGGATTAAATACACCATGTGTCACTTAAGTATATCATATGTCGCAAATTAACCATCCAATTTTTTTTAGCAACTAAACCATATATAAGTCAAATTTTAATTGCAATTAAACTATATAAATTAAATGATGGTTGCACCATTGTAATTTACGTCCATGGGTTTGTAGACGAGTACCAAACAGAAATTATTGTTAAAAAATGATTTCACCTCATATCTTAAAATCTATCTGACACTAAGAATGAGTTTCGACAAAATCAAATTATTGAAGAACTTAATCAAAACCTAAAGTGAAATGGTACAAGCAACCAGAATTAAGTGGTTCTTCACATTATGAATGAGTTTTGCTTAGTGGAAGACTGGAAGTACTATAATTCTCAGTTTTCTATTAGGTTTGTTGCAGTCATTTACACATTCACTTACAGCAGTAAACAACAATTAACAAGACTCAAAGTAATTACAAAAAGAAGGGAAAGACAATTACATCTCTGCAGACAATTTAACATCCGTAGTAATCACCATGTTAACGTCGCAGTCGATGAGCACATAGAAGGTAAACGTACCTAACCTAATAGCGGTTTCCAGTGCCTGCGTGCATAAAAACATTGATCATTCAGACGAAGCAGATTCCAACAGGACATAGTATTAGTAAGTACCATATGGATATGAATTGCGACAAACACACACCTCCTGGAAAAGAGTATGGTTTTCGAAGCAACCATTAACGTAAGCCTGATACTTCACCTCCAGCAATCCAATCTCATTCTCCATGTCAAAAACCTGAAGACCAAGCAACATATCGGTTTATGCTTAAGAACAGATCATCTACTCTGCCGGCAGGGATAAAAGTGAATGTACCCGTCAATCGGATTCATAACATACTATCCACTGGCAACTTGGATGTGAAAAAGAATTAGACTGAGCTTGACACCAGTCCAAATAAGGTGACAATGGAACGTGAAAGAAAAAATGTACCACGAAACCGAATCGTCCTTCACCTGAAGCTGATACAAGCACAATGAATTCAGTAAAACAGAATTTACCACTTTAGCCATTCTAATTTTGGTCTCATGTTCACCTCAATGCAAGCAAGTTTCCATCAAAAGTTCGATTTTTAAAATGGAAAACTGTTGAAAGCACTCGAACCAGTTCATGCATAAGCTAGAAGCTACACGCGTTGTTGACAATGCCTCGCCTAAGGATAGACCAGTAAATGCGGCGGAGAGCCATTTGCATAAGGATAGGGTTCACATCGAATACCCCGGAAGCTTTCAGTGAATCCATTTGCATAAACCAGTAAAGTTACATACCGTGTTGTTGCGTGCAGCATCTTTAGCCCGCTGTACCAAACCTGGAAATTCATCAGTAACATGCTGCAACATGGAACCAAAACTGTGTTAGGGAGTAAACAAAGTGAAAAAAAATGGAAGAGCAAGGCAATTTGAACGGAATGTGCTCAGTTGATACTTGATACCAACCTGCCAGAACATATTAGAAACAAGTTGTAAGCGATGAGGTAATCTTGAAAAGAGTCTGAACATTCTTGATAAATCATCGACCTAAAATCCACACAGAATATACGCGGGAAAAAAGGATTAATTGATTCAAAAGACACCCACGCATAAAAAATAATAATTACCAAGTTGTTATTACCCCACCTGGTCATCTCTGAGCAACACATGAAATCCTGAGTGCTCTTTCGTGAGAAGTTGGATACCATGAACTGAAAGCAGCTCGTTTTGGACTTTCTACCATGTAGAAAAGCAACATAGCGTAAGCAACATCAACAGCTGATATAGATACTTGAAAGGGCGTCCTTAAACTAGCACTTGACACACTGAACAAGAAATCTTCAAGCCACAATGCTGAAAAATTGCTAACTTCTGAAAGTCTATCTTAAATTTCGATAACAACCTCCAACAACTTGGGCTCGCTGCTGGGATGCAGGTAACGAGAAACCCTGTCTTTCTCACTTCTCAAACACTCCTCAACCTGGAACAGCAAACCAAAGTATCAAACAAAGTTTAAGAGAGAAGTCCTCTTCACATGTCACCAAGGTTAGAAGGCTGTGTGGCTTACTTTCAACAGGTAATCTGGACACGAATCTTCTTGGATCCAGTTTGAAGCCTTGCCAGAATAATAAGCAACCGTAGCTCTGAGCATAGCAGCTTCGAAATCATGAACGTAGTAATCCATTTGTCCCGTACCAATTTCAACAAAAATATCCACAACATTTTTCAACAAAGCTCGGTCAATTTCCTCCCCCTCACGCTCTTGATCAATCTGAATAAGGGAGAATCCAGGTCAGTATCATCAGAACAGTATAACACGAAATAAATTCGAGGCGAAGTAAGTTAAATCATACCAAAGAAAGTACCGAAACCCTAAGATCCCGATAGAAGGCATGGTACACCTGAAACAGCAACAAAATTGAGCACTTAACATGAAAGCAAAATCAGGGATACATTACTAAGGAGGGTTCAGCAGTAACATACCAGGTTGCGGAAGCAAATGAACCCAACTTCACGAAGCGGCAGAAGTGACCTCCGGGGAATAAATTCCCGATCAAGGTAATGAAAGATGTGAGATAGCCATCTAACCAGAACTTTATGGTTTGCCCATCTCTTCACAAGCTCCCTCGGCAGGAATTCATCATGCTTCTCCCTCAAGGATGGCAATACCTAAATCAGATCCACAAAACTCACCCAGATTAACTTGACAGAAGGAAGTAAAAAGAGAAAACCAATGTATTGGCTCATGGAAGAAAATTGTCTATTCACATTGCAAATTCAATGTCCTTGTGTCTCACCATTGAATTAATGTAATCTTCAATGGACTCCCTGTACCTGTCATACAACTGTTGAGAGTAATCATGAGGAGCCTTCTGAGTGCACATGGTGTGCACGGTACTAAAAGCAACGTCAAGGAAAAATGACAACCACAATGAACAAAACGTAACAACAAAATCCTACAATGGAAGTCATGTTCATCAGTGAATAGCCAAAACTTGGATACGTGTATAGCTCCATGTAGTTGGCAGAGCTGAACTTTGGCTCCGGTAGTCCTTCCAGGATGTTCTTCAGCCTAGTAATCCCCCTTTCAATAATCTCCCATCCTTGTTCTAGCTCGATCTCCATGTTTCCCTACCCCTAGTTACTGAAATCAGGGCCAGCAATGCCTCTACCAAGATTAACCTGCACACCGAAGCTAGGTACTGTTATTGCCAAGGTAGGATGCTTCGCCCTAACAACTCAGAATCGAAAAACAAGAAAGAATCTCAATCCTAAAACCATGATCCTCCATGTAGCAGCATACAGAAGAAACAAAAACTTAAAAGCAATTTAACAAACTAGAGCATCCACTTCCTGCCGCCAGCGCCATTGTCCCAATCACCGCGGCAAATAAGACTATCACGGAACTGCCAACAGAACAGGAAAGGGAACTTCGCAAGATCAAGAACTCATAGAAAAACTAAGAAATCACAATCCTCAAACCCTAATTCTCCAGGGAGCAGCACGGAGAACAAACATAAAAAGCAATTCAATGAACTCAAGCATCGGAACCGATCCAATTCTGTAGAAACACTTGTATTCTCATTTTCCGTCACTTCCTGCCACCAACGCCATTTCCTAATCGGCGAAGCAAAGAAGAATTATCACGGAACTGACGACAGAACGGATACGTAAACTTCGTCGGGCGGTGAAATTGTTAATGTAAGGAAGAGATCAAGAACTCATAACAAAATAAAGAAAACTGCAATTCTGAAACCCTAATACTCAGAGTAGAGAACTAAGGAAAATCAATTCAAGCGAAATCAAGCATCCGAAACCAATCCAGATCGTGGAACACTTGGACTCTCATTCTCCGTCACTTCCCGCCGCCCGCGCGATTGACCGAATCGGCGTTACACGGGGAAATGCCGACGGAAGGGGACAGGGAGCTTCACCGGACGGTGAATTCTTTCATGAAAGGAAGAGATCAAGAAACGCGCGCGATCATGAATCGGCTCTCGTGAACATCCGGAGCAGGAGAAGTAGTTCATAACGAGTTAAAACAACACTGGCAGCAGAGAGCGAAGAGAAAGCATACCTGATTCTGGTTCTGGTTCTGGTTCTGATTCCAGTATCGAGAAGACGAAGATGGTGAATGGTGATGAGAAGGGAGTAGAGCCTAATAAGTAGGTATTATGGAGAAGCAAGAAGAAGACGAGGCCGGGGCCGGGGTCGGAGCCGGGGCTGGACGGAGGGTTGACGTGGTGAGACATTTGGTCAATGCGGTGTTTGACTTGTGAATGAGAGAAAAGATCATACGAAAACTGATGTGAACTTCCCGCTCTTTCTCAGTTTCTCTATCTCTCGGGCTCGGTTTCGACCTTTCAGGTCTAAAATGGGTTTTCCCCGGTTCATCCTTATATTTTGTAGAGTTACAAATTAATCACTAGATAAGAAGTTACTTAGATATTCAGTCCTCCAACCATACAAATTTAACTTATGACTCGGGGAGATCAAAGTTTTTTTTTTTACAAGAGGACACTGCATTTCCATTACTTTGTGAAGCCAAGTGTTACAAAGGGGGATACAACATCAAGTATCTGTACCCATTCAGAGGGTAAAGAATTCTTGGCACATGATCTAGCTACCCAATTTGCTTTACAGTTGCTCTTACGGCTAATGTGCTTGATCCGAATCAGAGGGTTGGCCTCCATCATCTGTTTGATAGAACCAATCCACGTGGCAGCTCTTCACGGCCATGATCCCGGGCCTTCATGAACAGCCTGAACAAGGGGGGGACAGTCCGATCGGACAAGGCAAGGAGAGACGAGACCGGCCGCCAGACGAGCTCCCTCAAAAAGAGCCTTTGCTTCAGCTTCAAGTGGGGAAAAACAATGCATGATCTCAGCTTTACCGTCACACACTTGACCGTGGCTGTTCGACACAACGACGCCATAAGCCGCCTCCTGTGACTCACTGAAAAACGAGCCGTCACAGTGTATCTCAAAATCATGAGTACAAGGCGGTGGTGAAGAGGGATTCGGCATGTGAATAAGCTGAGGAGATGGAGGAGAAGTAGTCTGTTTCCTGGGGCAGGAGATCCATTGATGGTGCGCCAGAGATGCCTTCGAAATCGTGGAGGGGGGCCAAGGGTTGGTGCTCTTGAAAACCCGTTCATTCCTTGACTTCCAAATCTGCCAGAGGAGGAAGATGATCTTTTGGATAGAAAGGATCGAGTACCTGGGCTTCAAAGCACTCAGCCAATCCATGAACGGGGTATGGGGGGTGGGGCAGGGAAGAGATGGCCACTCCCTTTGCCAGCCTTCAGCTGCGTGAGGGCAAGTGAAGAGACAGTGATGAATAGACTCCGTTGGGCCAGCACAAACCGGGCACGTCATGGATGGGGAGCATCTTCTTAAAAAAAGGTTTTCTCTTGATGCAATAGCTCCTTTGGCGATTCTCCACACGAAGAATTTTAATTTCGGAGGGATAGATAAGCTCCATAGCCACTTCCAATTCCCCTTATCAGCCTCCGAGGCCCCATCCCGGTACCCTTGTAGCGTTCTGAACCGGTTGTGAACATGGACAAAGGCCGACTTGACGGTGAACTTGCCTTGCTTGGTGAACCTCCATGCCCAGAGTCTTCCAGTGACTCAGGGCCGATAGGAGTAGCTGCCACCTGCCTCAAATCGTGAGGGTTAAGAAAATTGGCCAGCACATCGAAATTTCATTCTCTAGAGATGCAATCAATCCAGCTATCAGCAGTAGCTTGGTCTAGCCACTCGAAATCAAGGAGAGGGCCCGCTCGGTCTCTTCTCCAAGGATCCTGGAAAATATTAGTTGTCCTGCCATTGCCAATAACTCGGATGATCCCATGTCCCATCCAGTTCTTTGCTTCACATAAGCTAGACCAAATCCACGAGGCCTTCCCTCCCTTTTTTGCATTCAGAAAGTCAGTTTTAGGGAAGTAGATACTCTTAAGGACCTTGACCCATAAGGCATCCTTATTGGTCAGAATTCTCCAAGCCTGTTTGGCTAACAGAGCCATGTTGAAAATATGAAACGACCTGAATCCCAGACCCCCTTCTTCTTTTGGAAGTTTGAGGGGGGAAACCGAGAAACGTCTGGTGTCACTCTAAAGATTGTAAAACAGCTATAAAACCATCCAAATTTTGGGAAATTTTTGTATACCTAGTTAGAGAGCACGTATGTCAGTCTAACGTGTCGGTTCATATTAGATTTGTTAATTTTGAGTCGAAGCAGAGGACAGTGCAAAGCAGAACGCAAACGCACCCTGCCTACAGGAGAGACCCAAGGGAGTAGACCAGCACAGGGAGAAAACCACAACTGATACTGGAGGGAAAACAATGGGAAAGAAAGAAAGCAATGAAAAAGGCAAGGAATCACAAGACGAACGGAACCAAAGAGACCTCCAAGCTTGTGGGAAGACGAAACGTCGCCACTGAAGAGGAAGTGAGAGAACAGAGAAAGCTCTCCAGAGACAGAGAGAAAAAACCAATTGCCAAACACACTCAAGATTCCTCTCTCTCTCTCGATCTCGGTTTCGTTTCCGGTCAATTCCGTTTTCACTTTTCAGTCATTATATTGTGCAAAGTTAATTAGACAATCACAATATAATAAATACTTTCCACATTCAGTCCTGCTACTAAGCAAATTAATGGCTTTCGACATAATCAAATCAAAAGCTAAAGTGAACCACCAAATTTATGTGGTTCTTCTCATTTCCATATCAGTTGATGTTTTACTCGGTTTTTCACAGTTTTTCATAAGGTCTGCCGCACCCATTTACACATCCACTTATACCCGTAAACAACGATTAACAACGGATCAAAGTAATTACAACAAAGGGGAAAAGACACAATTACATCCCTGCAGACGATTTAACATCCGTTGTTGTAATCACCATGTTAACCCTGTAGTCGTTGGGTATTTAGATGGCGAACGTACCGAATAGCGGCTCCCAGTGCCTGCGTGCACAAAACATTGATCATTCACACGACGCGGATTCTAACAGGGCATAATATTATTAGTAGGTACCATATGGATATGAAACTGCGGAAACGCGCACCTCCTGGAAAAGAGGATGGTTTTGGAAACAATCATTAACGTAAGCCTGATACTTCACCTCCAGCAACCCAATCTCATTCTCCATGTCAAAAACCTGAAGACCAAAGCAACATGTCAGTCAGTATATGCCTAAAGAACAGATCATCTTCGTTCTATGACGGCAGGGATAAAAGTGAATGTACCCGTCAAATCAGATTCAAAACATACTATCCACCGGCAACTTGGGATGTGAAAAAAGAATTATCTTGATCTTGAAACCAGTCCAAATAAGGTGACAATAGAATGTGAAAGAAAAGATGCACCACGAAACTGAATCGTCCTTCACCTGAAGCTGATACAGCACAATGAATTCGGTAAATGGAAGAAGCAAGTGCCACTGCCTAGGCTCAAAGAGGGACGAGGAGGGGGTTTCGAAGAGAAGAAAAGCAAGTGGCCTAAACATATAGCACCTCTGCTCACCTTGCCTTGAATAACTATGGTTTCCAGAAGAAGAGAAAAACAGAATTTACCACTTTAGGCATTCTAGTTGAATTTTGGTGTCATATTCACCTCAATGCAAGCAAGTTTCCATCACAAGTTCAATTTATAAAAATGAAAAAACGGTTAAAAGCACTCGAACCAGTTCATGCATAAGCCTGAAGCTGCACGCCCTTGTTGACAATGCCTTGCCTCAGGATAGACCAGTAAATGCGGCGGAGAAGGTAAAGAGGGAAAATAGGGTTCACGTTGAATACCCCAGAAGCTTTCAATGAATCCATTTGCATAAACCAGTAAAGTTACATACCGTGTTGTTGCTTGCAGCATCTTCAGCCCGTTGTACCAAACCTGGAAATTCATCAGTAACATGCTGCACCATGGAACCCAAAACTGTGTTAGGGATAAGCAATCAAAGTGAAAAACAATGGAAGGGCAAGGCAATTTGAACGGAATATGCTCAGTTGATACTTGATACCAACCTCCCACAACATATCAGAAACAAGTTGTAAGCGATGTTGTAATCTCGAGAAGAGTCTGAACATTCTTGATAAATCTTCGACCTAAAATCCACACAGAATATACACGGGGAAAAAGGATCAATTGATTCAAAAGACACCCACGCATAAAAAATAATAATTACCAAGTTGTTATTACCCCACCTGGTCATCTCTGAGCAACACATGAAATCCTGAGTGCTCTTTCGTGAGAAGTTGGATACCATGAACAGAAAGCAGCTCGTTTTGGACTTTCTACCATGTAGAAAAGCAACACATCGTAAACAACATCAACAGCTGATACAGACACTTGAAAGGGCGTCCTTAACCTAGCACTTCACACACTGAACAAGAAATCTTCAAGCCACAATGCCGAAAGATAACTAACATCTGAAAGTCTATCTTAAATTTCGATAACAACCTCCAACAACTTGGGCTCACTGCTGGGATGCAGGTAATGAGAAACCCTGTCCTTCTCACTTGTCAAACGCTGCTCAACCTGGTACAGCAAACCAAAGTATCACAGGCAGTTTAAGAGAGAAGTCCTCTTCACATGACACCAAGGTTAGAAGGTTGTGTGGCTTACTTACTTTCAACATGTAATCTGGACAGGAATCTTCTTGGATCCAGTGTGAAGCCTTGTCAGAATAATAAGCAACCGTAGCTCTGAGCATATAGGCTTCGAGATCATGGACATAGTAATCCATTCGTCCCATACCAATTTCAACAAAAATATCCACAGCATTTTTCAACAAAGCTCGGTCAATTTCCTCCCCCTCACGCTCTTGATCAATCTGAATAAGGGAGAATCCAGATCAGTATCATAAGAACAGTATAAAACGAAATACATTCGAGGCAAAGTAAGTTAAATCATACCAAGGAAAGTACCGAAACCCTAAGATTCCGATAGAAGTCATAGAATACCTGAAACAACAACAAAATTGAGCACACAACATGAAAGCAAAATCAGGGATACATGACTAAGAAGGGTTCAGCAGTAACATACCAGGGTGCGGAAGCAAATGAACCCAACTTCACGAAGCGGCAGAAGTGACCTCCGGGGAATAAATTCCCGATTGAGGTAATGAAAGATGTGAGATAGCCATCTAACCAGAACTTTATGGTTTGCCCATCTCTTCACAAGCTCCCTCGGCACGAATTCATCATGCTTCTCCCTCAAGGATGGCAATACCTAAATCAGATCCACAAAACTCACTCAGACTAACTTGACACAAGGTAGTAATAGAGAAACCAATGCATTGGCTCATGGAAGAAAATTGTCTATTCACATTGCAAATTCAATGTCCTTGTGTCTCACCATTGAATTAATGTAATCTTCAATGGACTCCCTGTACCTGTCATACAACTGCTGAGAGTAATCATGAGGAGGCTTCTGAGTGCACATGTTATAGACGGTACTAAAAGCAACGTCAAGGAAAAATGACAACCACAATGAACAAAACGTAACAACAAAATCCTATAATGGAAGTCATATTCATCACTGATTAGCCAAAACTTGGATACGTGTATAGCTCCATGTAGTTGGCAGAGCTGAACTTTGGCTCCGGTAGTCCTTCCAGGATGTTCTTCAGCCTAGTAATCCCCCTTTCAATAATCTCCCATCCTTGTTCTAGCTCGATCTCCATGTTTCCCTGCCCCTAGTTACTGAAATCAAGGCCAGCAATGCCTCTACCAAGATTAACCTGCACACCGAAGCTAGGTACTGTTATTGCCAAGGTAGGATGCTTCGCCCTAACAACTCAGAATCGAAAAACAAGAAAGAATCTCAATCCTAAAACCATGATCCTCCATGTAGCAGCATACAGAAGAAACAAAAACTTAAAAGCAATTCAACAAACTAGAGCATCCACTTCCTGCCGCCAGCGCCATTGTCCTAATCACCGCAGCAAATAAGACTTATCACGGAACTGCCGACAGAACAGGTAAAGGGAACTTCGCAAGATCAACAACTCGTAGAAAAACTAAGAAATCACAATCCTCAAACCCTAATTCTACAGGGAGCAGCACGGAGAACAAACATAAAAGCAATTCAATGAACTCAAGCATCGGAACCGATCCAATTCTGTAGAAACACTTCAATTCTCATTTTCCGTCACTTCCTGCCACCAGCGCCATTTCCTAATCGGCGAAGCAAAGAAGACTTATCACGGAACTGACGACAGAACGGATACGGAAACTTCGTTGGGCGGTGAAATTGTTAATGTAAGGAAGAGATCAAGAACTCATAACAAAATAAAGAAAACTGCAATTCTGAAACCCTAATACTCAGCGTAGAGAACTAAGGAAAATCAATTCAAGCGAAATCAAGCATCCGAAACCAATCCAGATCGTGGAACACTTGGACTCTCATTCTCCGTCACTTCCCGCCGCCAGCGCGATTGACCGAATCGGCGTTACACGGGGAAATGCCGACGGAAGGGGACAGGGAACTTCACCTGACGGTGAATTCTTTCATGAAAGGAAGAGATCAAGAAACGCGCGCGATGGTGAATCGGCTCTCGTGAACATCCGGAGCAGGAGAAGTAGTTCATAACGAGTTAAAACAACACTGGCAGCAGAGAGCGAAGAGAAAGCATACCTGGTTCTGGTTCTGGTTCTGATTCCAGTATCGAGAAGACGAAGATGGTGAATGGTGATGAGAAGGGAGTAGAGCTTAATAAGTAGGGATTATGGAGAAGCAAGAAGAAGAGGAGGCCGGAGCCTGTGCCGGAGCTGAACAGAGGGTTGACGTGGCCGGACATTTGGTCAATGCGGTGTTTGACTTGTGGTTGAGCGAAAAGATCATACGAAAACTGATGTGAACTTCCCGCTCTTTCTCAGTTTCTCTCTCGCGCTCGGTTTCGACCTTTCGGGTCTAAAATGAGTTTTTCCCGGTTCATCATTATATTTTGTGAGTTACCAATTAATCACGGGAGTTGCTATTCGTCGCCCTAAATATTTGAATTTATCGCCCTAAAACATATGAAATTACTTAACTATCCTCTGTTTAATTTTATGGTTAGAAACCCTTGAATTTAATAACCAAGCCACCACCGCCCGTCCTCCTCCGCTTAGCATCCGGCCATCCGTGAACTAATTCCCCAAAGGAAACTGAACGGACGCCGCCATCACTCAATTCCCCATGTGGGTTGCCTGCCCGCTTCATCCCACTCCACATGTGGCCACCACCTACTCCTGACGTCGACGCCGCGGGTTGAAAACCCGCCGTCGGCAGGGTATAAACAGGTCGGAGACCCGCCTCTATCCCGCCGACGATAGGTTTTCGACGATGACGCTGGTTTGAACTCGGCGGCGACACTGTTTGTGTGTTGGGGATTGGGGAAGGGGCATGTTTGTGCAGGGTCAGAGACCACGACTTCTTGTAGGCGCGTTGTTTGGCGGGATCTCGACGGTGGCGCTGGTTTGAACTTGGCGGCGGCGCTGTGTATGTGCTGGGGAGAGAGGAAATTAAGGACGAGAGAGACGGAAGTGCTGGTCGATTATAAAATTGGGGGCAATATTGTCTGTGTGGTAAGTTTAGGGCGAAAAATTCAAATATTTAGGGCGACGAATAGCGATTCAGTTAATCACTAGATAAAAAGTTTAGGATAAATTGCAAGGTTGGTCACTGAGATTATTAAAAATATTCATATTTACTCACTATAAATATTTAATTTCATTAATGGTCATTAAAATTAGTTTGATAGTTCATGTTTGGTCACTTTCCATTACCTTCCGTCAACCTCCGTTAACACTGTTAGTTATTTGCTGACATGTCTAACAAAAATGCTTAGTCACCAAACTTTAACAATAAAATAATAGAAAAAATGATCTGCCACGTCAGAAGCCCACTACGTCAACCCATTTAACTGACCCAACCCAACTCTGCCCCTAAACCGACGCCTCTTATTTACCCCTTCCTCTTCTCGGCGGCTGTCTCGCGACCATCTTCACCACCCTGCCCCCCTCTTTCCACCGCAGCTATTCCTCCACCCATTACAAAGTTGAAAGTGAAAAACAACAATCCCAATCAAGAAAATTTGTCCATTCAAAATCAGCCCATTCAAACCTCAATAAATACCCAACATCAATTACACGAATAGAGCATCCAAACCAAAAATGGATTAAAACCCAGGAAATTGAAAATGGGAAACTGAGACGAATTAATAGGAAGTTGCCTCCAACCCTTCCTTTGCCGGTGGCGTCGCCGCCTCTATCATCCTCATGTTTCCCGTCCTTGGAAGGCTTAGCAACGGCGGCGTTGCCGTTGGAAACTGGACCAGGCCCGGGCTCGTCCAACACCGTCCGGATCTCTTGGGTATGGCGATTGATGATAGGAGTTGGGGAGTGGAATCGGCGAGAAGGGAAGAATCGGGAGCCGAGCAGACCATGATTGGGGATACGTTTGGCGATCTTCTTCTATCGATTCACCAGTGGTGGTGGTGGTGGATCTTGCGGCATAGTTGGACGGCGACGAGTGAAGGTCATCATCTTTCTAAGGTCTTCTTCTCCGATTGAAAAGGCGGAGGTGAGGGCGAGCTCAGAGAGCGATTTGGACTTGGATGAGGCCGATGTTGTATTGGACGGGGAATGGTCGGTGACCTCGTGGCAGGCGGCGTTGAGGGCGAGCTAGGAGAGGGATTTGGGTTTGGAGGAGGAGCCAGAGGCGGCAACAATGTTGAACTTGGAGGAGGAGCTTGCGACGGTGAGTTATTAGGATTTTTTTGGTCGGGTCAAATAAAGGAAGAAGATGACGGGTAAGGTCACTGGTTGGGGTGGGTATCTCATGTGGCGGGTTTAGCCAACTGTACGGGTCGGGTTTCATTTTTTTATAATTTAAATGGGATGAATCAGCACTTCAGTTAGCCACATCAGCAAAATATTGACGGTGTTAACGGAAGGTAACGGAGAGTGACCAAACATGAACTATCAAAATAATTTTAGTGACCACTAATGGAATTAAATATTTGTAGTGACTAAACATGAACTTTTTTTGTAATCTCAGTGACCAACCATGCAATTAACCCTAAAAAGTTACTTTGATATTCAGTCTTCCAACCATGCAAATTTAACTTATGCCTCATGAAGTTTGACGATTAGTCGACTTTCGCTCGTGGCTTTGTACTGTTTTCTGACTATGTATCCGAGCTTTGGCCCCGTTTGTCTATGTTAAAAAAAATGTTTGAGGGGGAAACGTCTGGTGTCAATAAAAAGATTGTAATACAACTATAAAAGCCTCCAAATTTCGGAAATTTTTTGTATACCTAGTTAGAGAGCATGTATGTCAGTCTAATGTGTCGGATCATATTAGATTCATTAATTTTGTGTTGGCACTTGACAGTATATGTATGTACACTTTTGGTAGATAGCTTAGTTAAAAATATGTCCATCTATTCATTAAGGTAGAGACTAGAGACGTATATCGAAATGTACATCAACCGTGATCATAATATATCATCAATAGCTAACACAATTTTTGACTATACATTATATAATATTCATGTACAAAACATTACGTGATGTAATTTCGAGTTGTTGAAAAAGATGTTTATGTGATGAATATGTATTGTAAAATGTTCATCATAGAGAGGCTAATTATGAGAGAGAAGAGTTGAGAAAGAAGGAAATGGGTATGGTGAATGATGTTGTTGGAAATGGTGGAGTATTTCTGTGCTTGGTGGTCAAAAAGACTATGAAAAATGGGCTATCAAATTGCTCTTGAAGTTTGATGAGTGGTCCATGAGGTAATCTTATGAGCAGTTAGAACTTAGAACTCACTTGCTCAAAGTAAAAGACATATGAGACTTCGTTACATTTTTATAATGAAATTTTTTTTAGATGTTGTTCTCTATTCTCATCTTAAGTTTTCTTAAAAATATAAGGATATTCGTGAAACTAGAATGTAGGTTGGTTCTGATTTAATTCTCTATTTTTTTGTTGTGTGGATCTTATCGATCGGTTCCTACACATCCAATTCTTACCGTCGCCAAGGTCCGTGCATAAACAATACTTGGTCTTCTTGCATACATATCTAAAGAATAATTAATGGTGGAGTTTTACAACCTTTTCACCATTCAAAAAATGCTGCTCTCTCCTTAATTTTCGTCAGGGTTAGAATCGTCCATTTATTCCCTAAATTCCTCGGCTTCCCGCCCAAATGCATCAGTGCGGCCATAATAGACTCCGTCTTCCCGGCCTCATTAAGCCTTCTACTAGGCCCAACTATAAAGCCCATAAGACACGTCTGAATAATTTATTCTGGCCCGAAATGTACCTCCACAAACTGCATTTTTTGCCTCCAAAAACGATAAATACCTAGCTGCGTGCTGTGAATTCTAGCCAATGATCTAGGGCCCATCAACGCTTATTCACAAAAGCCCATAATCAGTAGAAGTTAGTTGGAGATTAAAGTCAATAACCAACACCAAATGACACTGAAAATCACTTATTTAGGCTTGAAGTTTGCACAGTATCAGACATCGTGTGCTTCAATGAAGTTACTGAGATTTGAATAGTAAACCTCTCGGTTACATAAAGCTCTAATACCATGTCAAAATTAATTGATCCCAATAACTTAAGTTGTTTGAAGAGGTTCAATAATAAATATTATACCATATACTAAAACCACATTTATACCATAGCACTTGCGAAACCGACAAAATGGTTAAATCGGTTCGACAACCTTCGCATCAAGTAAGCAATCCAAGATGGTAAACCCGCCCCACAAAAAAAAATTATATTTACAATTTTATTTTCTATTTAAGATAATTGGTACTTCTTGCGTTTGTAGGTCTAAATTTTTCAAGTTTGTGTTGTATAGATATCCTAATGTTAATATATATATTGCTGAAGGGCACTAACAAGTTTGTATCAACAATTGGGATTAGTCAATTGACTTCAGTGTTGTTTATGGAAAAGAATTTGGTGATTTATCAAATTAACTTCTCGGTAATGTGTTATTATGCTAAAAACTATTTGAACTGATTTAGTGATTTCCATTACATGTTTAAAGATAGGATATAATGATGAATATGTGTCTAGCAAGGTTATGTTGTCTTCTTATGTATCTTTCATATTTATATAATTCTAATATAGTTTTTGTTTAAATTTCCATATGTTTAACCACTTTAGGACGAGACAAACAAATTAAGGAGTGTCCAGTCCTTCTCTAATCCCTAATCACAACTACTTCACTCTCAATGTCACAAAACTTAACTGTTGCCGCAACTACTATTGTCTACTGAGCAAGACGATGTGAAGATGTCGTAACAATTACCACACCCTCCAAAAGGAAGTTTGCTATTATAGATGACATTGATGTTGTACTTAAGTTATGTACATACGTGAAAGTAACCAAGTCTTTGTGTTAAACTCGAAGAGCTTTCAATTGTGTTATATAATTACCCAGAAGTGGAACAGATTCAAATTATATTTGTTTAATATCATTATCATTGCTCATAAAATACCTTTATTTTCACCTTTTAAGCATTCACGAACAATGCTAAATTTATCTTCACTTAAGTTTTATTTCACTGTTATGATTCTTTTCATAATCACTTTTTTCTAAGGCAAAACCCTATAGCACCAATACTATATAGCATTGTAAAATTCCTCTATCAACATATGTGGTTTTCTCATGCCACATTGTCTATGAGTATTTATGCTCATTTTGTACCAACTTCCAAGTGACTACTACAACAATTATTATTAACAACATAAACAAAGTCACACAATCTTAAATATTGATCCGATAAAACCAAATGTAAATAAAATTATAATTAAAAATCAAAATCTTCCGGCCAACTGGCCGGGCACAAGCTAGTATTA